AATATTTTATTCAATCCCTTATTATCCTTGACTCAATTAAAAGTATCATTTTGTCAGCACCATTGTCTTAACTCGTCTCATAATAATAATGGTTATTGTTATTTAGTTTTCAATTCCTGACATACTCAAGTTCTGCCTCTGATAACTACTTGTTTGTTATAGTGATGCAATTGAAGCGTATTGCATTTTATCTTAATTTTGGTCTCTCATACTCTCCCTTTTATATCTGAACTTGACTCACAGAACATTCGCATCTGTCGTTTTTTATGATTGGTCCATTGTAGTTTACTTAATCATCAGTCACATATCTCCCAGTATATTTCTGACGGTATATACTACAGTATACAAGTGAAAAGTTCTACCTGCTTTATTAACGTTTGTCACAGGTTTTCAAATCGTATCCGGAAAGAGATTTTTTCTGATAGAAATTCTGCTGAACAAAACAGAGTCTTAGAAAAATGGAAAGAAGACGAATGAACATGAATAATCCATGTCCGGATTAAGTGTAGGCAAAGCAAACGGACTTAATGTGATTTAAAATGTGCTCAAATCTAAACCAAGGTAAAAGTAATTTTTGACTGAGTAAGGGCCAATTTCCCATTATGTATTAACCAGTTAAATTTTAAATATACTTAACGATAGTAACTATTATTATTCCCTTGGATTTCAAGTGGAACATACCACTTCAGCAACACATCTCCACTTTATTCCATTTTCTGCTGTCCTTTTCAGCTGGGTCCACGATTGACCATAATCTCTCATCTACTCCTCTCATGATCTCCTCCATGTCGCTTCCCATTTGGATTCCACTTGAGCTATAGTCTGCATTGAGAGCGATGTCATTCGACGGCCTCCTCAGCGTGTGTCCGATCTATCTCCACTTTCTCCAAGATACTTGTTGGGTAATCGGCTCTTGTGTGTCTTTTTCCACAGCCAGAGTTTCTTGTTAGTAATTCTTTCTAATCATTTGATCTTCACTGTGGAGCGAACGTAGCTGTTGATGAAAGTCTGTAAATTGTCAGAAATGCTTTTCGTGACTCTTAGTACAAGTTTCTGACCCGTGTAGGAGAACTGACTGCCTTCATATTTGTGTTGGAAGTCTGAATCTTGTTCTTTGTGCTAAGTGTGTGCAGGAGATTTCCAAAATGGTTTCAGCTTGATGGAGGCGTATCCTGTCTTTTTGATTCTGACTGGCTTTGACATTTTCATCCGTTCCGAGTAACTGTGGTTGAAACGATGCTTTCCAGACAGAAAATTGAAGAAAGTAAACTCTGTTAAATATCTCCCTTTGGTGGGGATTGGTGCTGGTTGTTGTTCTTGTTGGTTGGTTGTCTTCATCACCTCAGTCTTCTCTATGTTCACCTGAAGTCCTGTCTTCGACGCCTGCCTCTTCAATCAGTTTGTAACTTTTTGCCTACCTGCAAGCTTTTGAGTTTACGTGACACTAGACATAAATCATTCGCACGCGCGAAATCCAGATCTTCTAGAGTCTTCTTATCGGTCAGTACAGCGTATTCCTGTCTCCTCGCTCCCCACAGTCTGACGCATAATCCAGCCCACTACAAGAATATCATCGTGATGAGCAAAAGTAACTATACGCCCTTATAACAGATAGAATCCAGTGGATAAGGCATTATGGAAATCAGTAGTCAGATGAAACATTGTTGTTGTTTTTAAATCTGCTTAGTGAGTTTTATATATAATGAAATATGTATTCGAAACATTTTAATTCTAGCCAAAGTTAACTCCTGGATGAAAATAGTTTTACAAACACTCATTAGTTAACAGGAATGATAGAGATTAATTCAAAGAAATAATATTTCATCTGTCAGCTAATCAAATTAATCCTCCATTCATCACAGTGTATCTTATTTACTTCACTTCTTGTTGTTTTAACTATCCAATTACATTTTCCAGTCATAATCTATACTCGCGCCTATTTTCAAATAAGTTTCAACTCATCTCTGTGGTTTCTTCGAAAGAAATAGAGATAAAGCAAAACAGATTATTAGAGAGTGGTTTGGATTAAAAGACATTGTTTCAAATTATACTACTGATTGGACACTAGTCAGTAACCAGTCTAATGTGTGTGTCTAGACGTATCTTTGGTGGAGACTGAATTCTATCAGTCAAGTTTACAGTGTGGCCACCATGCCAGGTGGCTCGCCATCACAGTGTACTGTGAATTGTTGGTATTAGGTGTTTGTAGGCAATCTACAGGAAGCCTTGAACCTGAGTTTCGTGCTAGTTGGTACTCGCCAGTCAGCAAGGTGTATCTGCAACCTCGAAGGAACTCATGTCCTCCCTTCTGAGATTCAAACCCACGCCACCCAGTGCTGCAGTCAGAGATGTTACGGCTAAGTTACTCAGACTAACGATTGACATCCTGTAGGACTCCTTTGAATACTTTGATTAGACACTAGTCAGTGGGAATCTCAGTAGGGACATGAGCTCCTTCGAGGTTGCAGATACGCCTTGCTGGCTGGTGAATGCCAACTAGCACGAAACCTTGGTTCAAGGCTTCCTGCCGATTGCCTCCAACCACCTAATACCAACACTTGTGTTATTACCGGTTATTAGTTTACTTGAAGATTCTGCACACAATGACTAGATACTTTGCAATAGGACATGCTGAAAATTTTGATATGATGAAAATATGTGTAGGGTAGAAAGAGATCAGAAAAAGATGAAATACTTCGTCTGACCATAGAACGGGATTAGATTTTAGAAGGTACAAAATGTGTCAGCTGTTTTAAAACAATTGAAACAATGTCAAAATCGATTAAGTAAAGTACAAAGGAACCAACCTGAAATAAAATGATCAACACCCTACTGAAGGAAGGTATTCAATATAACATTTTTGAACAAAAAGTCTAGATTCTGTTCGTAAATAGCTAATACATCATTTATACGTAAGTGATGAACTTAGATCTGAAAATTACTTCTCAGTATGAACCGCAAACAACTGGATGATTTCAATTTATAAGATGTCAGGAAATTAATTCAGCTATCACCATACATTCATCCTTCACCAACCAAGTTAAGTAATAATTTCTTGGATGATGACCAGCAGTAGAATTCAGAATGCTCATTTCGTCCTATTTCGGACTTGTCATCCGGATATACCTGCATTCCCAATCAGTGACAATGTTCCCACTGAGGCCCGAACCCAGTATCCATCATTTCAGCCGCCAAGGTGTTATCCCCTGGACCACTTGGACCACGAAAGTCACCTCTTGTGCAACCGATGTTAGTTATTATTTAATTCAGACTTGGTTTTCCCGTTGATTAGTTAGACATTCTTCTAAATACTTCATGTTAAATCCTCAAACATCGTTGAAGCATCCACACAAGCAGCCGAAACGTCAACAGAGGCTGGACACTTCTGTCCAGTCAATCAATGGGAGGGTCAAAATTGAATGTTTTATTTTATATTTTCACAGATCAGTCTGTTTCTTCAGTAGACCTTCTTTTATGTCATCCACTTTAACCACACACCTGGAACCCCTTCAACTTCCCTTTTATTATGGTGACTAGAATGTACCAGTGTAATTAGATGTAATTTTACTACATCGAAGTATGACTGTACAATCTGACAACAGCCTCACTGAAAGACATATTTCTTCGCTGAACTAAATCTTATTCATGAATCATTTGGTATATTTCATTATTTGAAGGAGTACTTAAAAACGACACTTTCTGTACACTATTCAAAATGGAAGGAATTAAAAATTGGATGGTAAAGTCAGAAGAGAAAGAAATCAGTTCAGATAGCACTGCTTCCTTCTTTAATGCTGTCTCCCTCTCCCTTTATCTCTCCCTCCAAGATCACATTTCATAACACTGTCATATGAATATGCTAACTAACTAACTAACTAACTGACAGACAGACAAAATTTATGTCCACAATTTGAATTGCAAATGAATATGATCTCTGTCTCTAAGTTTCACAAGTGGACATTATGCTTAAACAAAAAAACTCCATCAATCTTAGTTAAACAAACAAAAAGAACTGACCTTTAAAGGTTTTTCATAATAAATAATGTTGTAGGTGTATCCATGCAGACAAAAGTTAGAATTGTAAGATAATTAATTTATTCTTACCATGAAGTAGGTCCCTACATTTACGCAATCAACAGGCGAACATTAAGATTTTAAAACTTGGAGTTCATAAGTAAACTATGTATTCTCCGTTTGATCTTTAATTTTAGACCGATTTAATTACCGACAGAAAATCTGGGAGATAATTTTTAACAGTGGGCTTTATTTGCCACTTAAAAGTATCCGACTTTTCAACTTATCAGAAAGAAATAGGGTTAAGTTTAATTGAGTTGTTCTTTCATCCCGTTACACTAGTAGGATCTAACGACCAGGAAGTACTGCGTTATCCAATAGATTCACAAGTTAGAATATTTATCGAAACACCGACTGTTTTCTTCCGCGTTTTTACCAGTGGATAGAATAAGCCGACTATATTTAGTTTTTATCTTATGCAAGCCTTGTTTTTCGGATAAACTTTTAAACACTTTCACTGCATATAATTATTATGAAGTATGGCAAGAAATATTTCCTCACTGATGAACAAGCCTTTGTTTTCTGTGTGGACAAGTTAGTGGGTGTGTTTAATAATTTAAAAGTTTTTTGCTTTAATTATTTGAGCACCGGAAGAGCATCGGAAATCTTTTTTTATTTCTTTTCGTTCCCAGTGGAACAAAGGGCTTTAAGCTTTAGCTTTGAAGTGTGAATAGCAGTGGTGTTTAGTTTCACGGGGTGGGCTTGCTAGCCCCACACCCACCCTCCCCTCTTTGTTGGGATTATAACCGCCTTGAGGGAGGTAAAGCTGTGCGCTGGCTGGCACTTGAATCCAGGACCAATTGCTTGGTCAGCCAACACTCTACTGACGAACCACAAACGCAGACATTTATAAGGTCTTGCTAACTACTTTCTAATCCGTCATATTAAATCTCATAGTGAATATCGATTAAAAAGCTTGCAAACATTCAATCCCTCTCACACTTACCATAAAGTCTACTGATTGCATCCTTCTCTCCAGCTTTAACAACTTTCAATTGTTCAGGTTTCAATGTTTGCAGGATTGATTTTTGAAAATTATCATTATCATCATCATCATCATTACCACCACTGTGTTTATCATCAATGTTGTTAATTCCGGGTGAAATATGATTAGCATAGAATAATTTCACAAAACAAAAGTTGATTAATATAACGGTATTATATATACTGCATACATTGTGTGTCCGATTACATTTCATATTGAAATTAATCGTTACTTGAGAAGACAATTGCTTCTATGAGAAGGATAACAGTCAGGATAATGTATTAGCTGTGTAGTTCGACTTCATTTTTACTCATAGTCTTGCAATTGACTCTAACCATTCCTAATTTGATGTATGCATGTATGTTTATGTATACGAAACGTTGAAGCATATTAGATCATTCTTCGTGTATTATACAACCACTGTAACACGAAATTAGAGCGAATGACAATGAAAGAGATTTATTAAGAAAATATCAGTTTGAAGGATTCAGCATAGTTGTATTACAGAAAATCAAATGATGTTTATGTTTCTTTTTCAGGTTCTTCATTCATCAGAAGAAAATTAAAGACGGAGTAATCCTACTAGTGAGTAAATTTAATCATAGTTTAAATAAAAGTGTACAACAGTAGCCGTTTGTAAATATATATATATATATAAATATATATATATATGCACGCATATGTGCGCATATGTACACGTGAATGTGCTGTTATGTGCACATTTCTATACGGCACCAATTGTATGTTTGAACTGCACAATTAATATTTCTGTGATGTCGAATAAATTCGACCACTCCTGTGTGGATTAATAATAGTAGTGAAGAAATATTCTGACAACAGAAAAAAAAAGAAATATTGTAAACCCGCATATATATACATATATTTATTATTTTTCTTAAATCTCCTCATAAGGTGATTTTCTGTCCTTCTCCAGGTATACAAGTCGGAACACAAACTGAAATAAGAAAAAGAAACTGAATTGAAACTTTAAAACTTTGGCGGGTTTTGTAAAATTGTGTTCTGTCAGATGCTAAATTATGAACCCACAATGCTTAGTTGTTGTTTTTTTTTCGCGCCTTGTAAACCGGTTATTTTTGTAATCTGTTTTTCTTAGAGCTTCATTCAACAACGTTGTCATACTGTAAGATGATTAATGTCATTTTAAGAAATATCATTCCCTCCTCCCCCAATTTCTATTTTTTCAAACGTGTGTAAAAAGTTAACATCTTTATTCAATAGTCATTAATGACCTTAAGTTGTGTGTAGCTCTTTCTAGGGCTGAAAATAACCTTAATCCAAGTGACCTCGATGTAATATAGTGGCAGTAAACTGCGTGTGTAAGGCATACAACATTAACGAGATAGGGGTTAGCCATGTAAACCATGATGTGATTTGAAAAACTGTTGAAGTTTGCAGTTTGTGTTATTTGTAACTTGGCTGGTATTCAACCAGCTTAAATGCTGAAGTGAATGTTGCTGATCGATTCACTTCATTATATCCCAAAGGGAAATTTTCAAAAGTAAAAGTAAATAATGAATGAGTGCATTTTGTGAAATTGACTTACTTAAGATGGAGATGTGATAAGACAGTCATAGAGGTAAGTTGAAACAATTATCGAAAAACACATTCATTGATCCATAATTGCTGAATACAGGTGAAGAGCCACCACCTGCAAATCGCTCCAACCAAGTAAGCCTAGCGGCCAAACGACAAGAGGTCTATGTGTATTTTATGACTACAGTTTTCTATTTGTCATGACAGTTAGTTTGATAACCTTTCGATGAATGCTGAAAGTTGTTGGGACGTGGCGAACTTACTAAGGACACTTGGTGGGTTAGTTATTATATTATTATATATTCTATTATTCCTATAGGTTCCAAGTGGAACATAAGACTTCATCACGATATGTTCATTTCACCTTGTTCTCTGCAGTCTCTTTTAGCTGACTGCATGATTACCCATCAGCTTTTATTTCCTCCTCACGTAACCTCCAAGTCACCTTCACATCACATCCAACTTGTTTATCCCCTTTCAGGTTCCATTCAAATGCTTGGTGAGTGTGTCACTCAGTGGTGTGCTCAGCTTTTTCGTGACTCACCGAGTCTCATAACCATATAGAAGAGTCCATTTGATATCAGTGTTGAAAATCCTAATCTTATGTTGAGAGCAACAAACTTCTGCAGTACTTGTTTTTCCGATCCTGGCTTTGATATTCTCATTCGTTCAGCCTGTAGTTGAAACGATGCTGCCTAGAGATGACTTCCGATTCCTCCCGTTGGTAGTGATTGTCGCTTGTTGCTATTGGTTAGTTATCTCCGTCAATTCTATCTTCTCTTTGTTCATTTGAAGTTCTGTGTTCGTTGCCTGCCTCCTCTGCCAACTAGTTGTAGCTGTTATTTAAAAATTATCAGGAACTCTCTTAGAACCACAAATAGTAGTTTCGTTTTTATATGATGTGAATAAGTGCGTTATGAACTGAATTTCCGTATTAACCAGATTTTTTAGCACTAATCACTCAACAACAACACCATACTGTTCGTACAGTGGCAGATGTATGAATGAAAGCTGTGTGGACATCTAAGGGAACGAGCTGTCCGCGCAAAAGTACCTATATCTATTGAGAAAACTCAAGTTATCTAAATTCATTAAAATGATTTATTTCAAAATTTAAATCATTTTATAGGTGTGTTTGAATAACTTATAAATATGTTCCTATGCAGTTATTATCATTAGCTCATTTTTCTATCATACTGAATGGTAAAAATAAATCAACTTAGTTAATGTTAGGTCATGAACTGACTTCAGTCAGAGAACCGGCAAAATCGAGGGAGATTTCGACAACTGTTTCACTGAATTACTGAACTTGAGCAGTAGACTTCTGTGATCTCACTGGGGATGGAAATAGAATGAAATAACTGTTCAATACTCTCTGGTTTTCAGTAGTCCTCTAACTGGGACCAGCCCGTGATCAGACTTGAAACAGATCAAATCCATACCAAAAAACTCTTGAAAATTAGTCTGATGCACACTGATGCTTGGAAACAGGGTGAAGTTGCCTTGAATTTTAGTGAGAATTTGTGATTAGCGGGATCCATCTAATCGGGTGTTAGAACAGCTACTCGCTGCCGATATTAGGTAGCGCACACGCTAAAATCATGGATTAATAGGAGTCTGGAATCACTAGTCTAGTTAATAATAATAATAACAATAATAATAATAGTTTGCTTTATTCCAAAACAGTACTTGTGATACAGAATGGAATTCTCAGCATTTTTACTACAGTATTGCATCCAGTTAGTACATTATCAATAAATAGAGTTCTACATAGATTGAGGAAACCACAGTTCATTATGACAACATCATGGTATGTTGGTAGCAAAGCCAAAGTTGAACAGTGTTTGAAGGTGTTAGAAAAGTAGGTGCTATCATATTTACTGGCGTAAGCGAGAGAAAGAAACAAGGCAGCACATAACGGAAAAAAGAGAGAGAAAAGGAAAAGAAAGAAAATGTTGTATCTATAAATGATGTGAGTTGGAGGGACGAGGTCCAGTTGTACTACTGACTATTTAATGAATTATAGATGTCACGCCTAATGCTATCTTTATCACACAGAACACGAGCTAAGTAGGGTATGGTTGAGTTTTTGTACTTGCTAGTGCGAGCATATAGTTTTCTATATAGGCTTCTAGTTTTGCCTGATGAGATGCAAGGGGAGAGTTGTGAGTGAAGAGGGTGGTGTGAGTTAGATAAAATGGACTTAGCCCATTTTTCACATGAGTTCATGTGCCTGTCGACCAGAGTATTAACAAGCTGGTTAAGTGGCACGTTGCTTACTCTGCTGACAACCTTTAACATCCTGCGTAATATGTTATAGTCTTTTTTCAGTAGCCCGGGGAAAACTAAAGGGGAACAATAGAGAATAATAGGCGGAATGCGAGAGTTAACGAATTGTAGGAGTAAGGGTTGGGTAATACCAGAATATTTTAACTTCTTGATGTAGAAGGTAAGACAGAATATTTTCTTAGAAATCGCCAAGATATGAGACGACCAGGAAAGATCAGCAGATAGAATGACGCCTAGGTATTTAATTTTCGACTTGGTTTCTATTTCAGTGCCATCTATGTTGCACACCTCGTGAGAGCCAACCAGTTTGTTTAGGTCGGATTTATGCCTAAAGGTGAAATTGACTGTTTGGCATTTGGAGGGGTTTAGGGTAAGACCGTTTTCCTTGGACCACTGGCTGATTTCTGACAGAAAGTCATTAAGTTTAGAGCAGTCACTTTGACATTTGCCAGGCAAAGATACTGTCAGATCGTCAGCATATTTGACAAAATTGATGTCATTTGAAGATGGTAAGTCATGTAGAAAGAAAGGAAAGAGAAGTTGGCTGTATGATCAACGACCTTTGCCTCGTAAATCCAAATTCCCAGGTTTGATTGCTGGTGGGGTGGTAGGTGCACACTTCTGGACGAAACAACTGTCCAGCGGTTCCCTGCTTGATATCGATCCGTGACCAAACTTGGTGCAAATCAAATCCATACAAACTGACGCTTGAGAATTAATGAATGTTGTTTCCTGGCTGGTAGTGGACAGCAGTGGAGTCCAGGGCACTTGTGATGCTGTTTCCAATGAGACTGAAACCTAGCATAAATTGTTCAAGGTGCCACAGCATTGTCATGCAGACCAATGAGCCACGACAACCGCCTCTTGTGCAACAAATATCAGTTATTATTCACTGTAGCCACTTTGAATTGACTGATTATACTGGACCGTAATCGTTAGTCTTTAAATGAATATTCCTCTACCTATAGATGAAATCGTCAATAAAAAGAGCTATTCTGACAGATAATTTATTCAGAAATGTTATGAAATTATTTCCTGACAAAAATATTTTACTTTAATGGTCAAACAAAAAAAATTAGGCGCCAAATATTTTAACCGGTTAATTAAAACATTCGTGTAAAAATGGTTAGGCATAAATGTACATATCTACTGTCAACACTTTTTAAATGTCAAGTTTAGTTTTTTTTTAAAATCCAGCATAGCCTGCGTACAGTAGGTAGGAGGAGTCATCAGATACTTTTTCTTTTATTTTTGGTAGGAATTTCTGAATATAAATCAATGTAATGTCGTTGCTGTTCGAAATTCTTGCCCAATACAGTTAGTATATGTCAGTAGGATTCAGTGTATGCTAAAGTATAATTTGTTCTATGT